CTCTCTCTCTCTCTCTCTCTCTCTCTCTCTCTCTCTCTCTCTCTCTCTCTCTCTCTCACATACACACACACACACTTCACCCCCACCCCTACCTGCCACACCACACCGAATAGGACAGATGCCAGTAGGCATGGGTAGCCAGTCCAACTTAGCAGTGACCTCTGGAGTAAATGCTCAACACACAGTAAGCTCTTGGCATCCTGGTTCTGTGTTGAAAATGGTGATAGTGATCTCAGGGGAATCGTGAGGTGCTGGGGTACATAGGAGGTGTGGCTGGAATATGATGTCTGAGTCACTTCACAGCCAGGAGATACTCACTACTACTGCAGAGAAGGGGAGACCGATATCTAGGACTCCAGGTTGGGGATATGGTCAGAATGCAAGCAAAGGGCGGGGATAAGCCTCACACAGGCTCTTATTGACTCCTAAATTTTCTGTCTGTAATGAAGCAAACCGCCTGCCACCCAATTTTTCCTGAGTCAGGAAATGGGGACCAAACTCCAGCAAGCTCAGTTCTTGAATATATTCCTGTTTTAGTCGGGGGGGGGGGTCTCACCAATAGACTGCCTGCCCCCTTGCTGGCTTCTCTCTCCCAAACACGGCACCTTAGCACTGAGTGGTGACTACTAAGCCTCCATATGTAATTGCTGCTTATACTACAAACATATCGAACAGTTTCCTTCCCCATCTACCCTAGACAAGCAGAGACTTTTCTCTGAAGAACCCGGGACAATTTGTAAGTTCCGGTATACCAGAGATACCTATGAGCTTACTGGCTTTGTCCTTTCAGCATCCCAGGTAGCTGAATCCTAGTGGGCTTGAGCAGCCAGGAAGGGACAGGAACCCTAAGGCACAAGCTCCATGTCATAGAGATACAGCCTGGTGTGTGTCAAGAAAAAATAATTACGAATATAAAATTTGGGGAGTGCCAGAAGAGGCCTCAATGCTCACACCCACCTGCCTCGCTGGATATAAATGGAGATTTTCACACCCAAGTTCTCAGTGTTAACGATGTATCTCCCTGGTAAGAAATTAGAGCTTCCTATTTTCAGGTTGAGAAGCCACAGGGAGAACTTCCCTCTGCACTGATGACGGTGAGGTCAGGCCCAGGGCACTGAGTGTAGATTCCTCCTGGATACTCTCTTGCCCCTAAAGCCCCTAGGTCCTGGGCTCAGTGACTCAGTACATTCTATGTGTAGCTGAAGCCCAAAGACAGGCTTGGTGGTCAAGAGTAGAGGACTCTGCTCTCTCCAATGACCTGTTCTCCAGTCCTTGTCCCCAGACCTTTTATCTGCTCAAGGAAATGCTGAGAGAGGACAGGAGGCCGAGAATTGCTGTCAGAAAAGCCTCAAGGTAGAGGAGTCTTCTTTCTCTTCCTATAGATAAGGAGAGTTCAGTCCCTCCCCAAGATCAGAGAAAGAAGAGAATTTGTGGGATCCAGTTCTCAGAAAAACAAACAAAAAAAAGCATCTCACCCATTTTATAGGGGTTTACAATTAAGAGACTGCCTTGAGTCCCTTGAAACTGACTTTTAAACCGCGCTGAGACTCCAAAAAGACTATGAGGACTTTTGAAGATGGACTAAATGCATTTTGCATCATGATATGACCACAGGCCTGTGGTGGTCAGGAAATGGAATGTGTTGGTTTACATGTGAATGGTCCCATAGGCTCACATAGTTGGTCCCAGTTAGTTGGATCCTTTGGGAAGGATTAGGTTTGCCTTGTAGGAGGAGTGTGTCATGGACGGGAGGGGCTTTGAGGTTTCAAAAGCCCAGCCATCTCCAGTTGGCTTTCTCTGCCTCCATCTTGCAGATAAGAATGTGTGCTCTCAGCTACTGGTCCAGCACCATACCTGCCTGCTGCCACACTCCTTACCATGATGGTGATGATCCCAATAAACTCTTCTAGAAGTGGCCTTGGTTGTGTGGTATCTTGTCACAGCAATAAAAACTAAGACACTGCCAGAGTCCCTGAGGTGTCTCTGCAGCCACAGACCTTACCCTGTATCGTGGTATAGTCTTGTACTTTTTGTATCTGGGAAAAAGGATGAAGGGTAAGTGGGATTGTAGGCTCATCATTCTTCACGTCTGCGGTGAGCCAGCTGTGGCGGTGCCTGTGGTGCATGCCTTTTAATCCCAGAGTTTGGGAGACAGAGGGAGGTGGATCTCTGTGAGTTTGAACCCAGTCTGCTCTACAGAGTTTCAGGTCAGTGAGAGCTACATGGTTAACACCCTTGTGAAAAACAAACAAAAACATAGCAAAACCTGCATGGGACTGTCTGTACACAGCTCAAAATGAAAATTTTAATTAAAAATAAGAGGAGCTGGAGAAATGGCTCAGAAGTTACAAGCACTTGTTATTGCTGACTGCCTGGGCTCAGTGGCCAGCATCTACATGCTGGATTAATAACCACCCCTAACTCCAGTCCCAAGAAATCCAATGCCCTCTTCTAACCCCTGTGCATGGTGCACATACATACAGTAAAATTAAAACGTTAGAGTAATGGAGAAAAAGGAGGATAGAGTGTGACTGAGGAACTTTCATAAGCCCGGAGCAAGCCCAACCCCCAAGAAGAGGGTAGTGAGCCTCACCCACCTCCTTCCTGAGGAAGAGCTGGGGAGCTGGCATTCTTCCTGTGGCTTGTTCCTCCTGGACTTTCAGATGCCATCCCTTTCGTTGGGGGCGGGGGAGGGGAATCTAGTTCTTGTACTCGGACTCCCAACACTGTTCACCATGACTACCCTAGAGGAGCACAGACCCAGCATCCATCACTTCTCCCTCCTCCTCCAGGCCCTCCAAGGCCGGTAGTCAGTGTAGATTGACAAGTAGGAAAGCTACTTCCTGGCTTGCTAGATGCCACCAGGGGGCTGGGAGCTCTGTGGAAGGACAGCCACTGTATGCAAATGAACTTGCAGCTTTCAGGTATCTGGGACCCTTGCTAGAAGTAACCCCAAGCAGACTCTTAAAGAGAGGAGGAATCTGGGTAGTAAATTCAGGGTTCTAGAGCCCAGTATGTAGTATGAGGGTGATTCATACTTGGGAATTCCTTTGAGGACCCCTGAAGCTATGGAGACCCCGTTTGTCTAAACTAGAGGGGACAGGACATGAGTTTCCGAAGGTCTGGGAAAGCCAGCGCCCTTCGCCTTGCTGACTGCTTGCTAAGGCGATCCTATCCATCTCTTCCTCTTTTTTCTATCTCCCCTGAGATCCGCAGGCTACAGCTTGGTTTGGAATGTCAAGTGGGCGCTCCTTTCCTGCACTCCACTGGCAACCGCCGTTTTCTTGGGCCCCAGACGTCAGCGCTGCCCCGCTCAAAGATACAAGTTTACTGTGATTCAGGGAACCTCACTTCAAGCCAAGCTGCCAACCCAGCCACCATAGTGGCTCCTGGGCGTTTGGCAGGCACCAAGCCAGGGAACAATTTCACTAGCCCTAATATTGAACTTGTTTTCAAACCCGCGCGGCTCTGAACGTAAATCCCTGCTGCGGCTGAGTTTAGCCCTTAAACCAAGAGTTCCCTACACCTGGACCAGCGCGCCGCGTCACAAGGGCCAGTGGTTCCCATGGCAACAGGTGGGCCAGAAGCAGGCGGAGCTTTGACCAGACGGTGCACCTGCGGCTCCCGCTGGACTCCGCAGAGGAGGTGGGCGCCAGGCACTTTGCAGAGCGGGGCTGGGGCTCACAGAGGTGATCCGGAAGAGGAGTGGTAGGTAGAAGGTTTGGAGAGGCATGGCCAGGGGCTCGAGGTGGGTAGTCTCCACCGGGGAAATGGGATAACAGACGGGGAAAGTAATTTTTGGAGGGTTCCACAGAGCTTTCTCGCTGCAAGGGACTTTGTTGACTCAGGGTCTTGGGGCCCTGGTCTCAGCTTGCTTTCAGGAACCATTCTCTGCCGTCCCAGACGCCTGTCATAGCCTCCTTACACACACAAGTCATTTTAAAATGGTCTTTGGTAAGTGAAGCCAACTTGAATGAACCTTACTAGTAGGGCCCCGGGTGTGGGTGACCTTAAGCTAGTCATACAGTCTTTTAGTTCCGTTTCTCATTCAACCCCAGTTTCCACAACCTGAAACTTCCAAGTGACGCCACTGGCCCAGTGCCAGGGACAACTGGCAGGATGTTGGTCCCTCCCGGAAGCTCTGGCTGCTGGGTTTTGTGGCATACCGGCCAGATTTGGGGACCTGGTATGGGAACAAGGAGAGGAGGGAGAGACTCTGGGGTCAACAATTCCAACTTTGGGATAAACTAGACACAACAGCATATACCCCTGAAGTCTGTGATGAGGAGATGACTTGAGCACAGGAGTCGGAGGGTAGCCTGAGCTACATCGGAGGGCAGTCTGAGCTACAGAATGAGATGCTATGTCAAAATCAAAAAGTGACCATCTGTGAGATGGTAGGATGGAATCTGCTCTGTTCTTGGGCACACAAGGACCTTTTCCATGGGAGGGTTATGTAGAGTCTGGACTTTGCTTAGTCTTGTCCCCAAGTACGGTAGCAGTGCTGAGGTGTACCAGGTCTCTGGAGACTACTGGGGTACATGGGCAATTCATTAGTACCCCAAGGGTCATCCTAAGCTTCTCCACAGCCTAATGGGCACCATCCATTATCCACAGTAGGTGAGGAACTTGAGGCTCCTGGCGTCTCCCAACTGGTTGGCATCCCAGAGTTTCTTTCCAGACCACTCTGATCCTATAGCCCACTCTCAACCCAGTTAGCTCATCACCACAAAAGACTATTGGTGCCTTGATAGAAGTTTCTTCTTCATCATCTGCTTTTGTCCCTTCCCAGCCTACTACTACTCTCCATCCATGGGTCTCTCTCTGCTCAGAAGGCTGTGGTCCAGGGGATGGAGAACAAAGACCATTATGGGGTAGAAGGCTTAGGTTGGGGGCACAGCCAGTCTGTCACAGCTGATGCCTAGTCCTTACCCTCAGCTCCTAGACAATGAACTTCCAGGTGACAGGCCTGGCCCTGGACAAAATGAAGCTGGACAGTCCCCATTCCTTCCTGGACTCAGAGGAGGTGGAGGAAGCAGAGGACCAGCAACTGCTGGAGCCGGAGGCTTGGAGGACCTATATGGAGCGCCGCAATGTGCTGCGTGAGTTTCTGACCACAGACCTGAGCCCCCAGTTACTCAAGCGCCACCATGCCCGCATGCAACTACTCAAGAAGTGTTCCTACTACATTGAGATCCTCCCTAAGCATCTGGCCCTGGGTGACCAGAACCCACTGGTGCTGCCTAACACCATGTTCCAGCTCATTGACCCCTGGAAGTTTCAGCGCATGAAGAAGGTGGGCACAGCACAGACCAAGATCCAGCTCCTGCTGCTCGGGGACTTGTTGGAACAGCTGGACCATGGCCGAGCGGCACTGGACGCCCTGCTTGAGGCCCCTGACCCACGGCCCTTCCTGGCTGGCTGGGGGCTTGTGGAGCAGCAGTTGGCAGATCTGTCAGTTGTTATGGACAACTTCCTGGCCATGATGGTACCAGGGCACCTGCATGTCAAGCACCGCTTGGTATCTGACATTGGAGCCACCAAAATCCCACACATCCGGCTTATGTTGAGCACTAAGATGCCAGTTATGTTCGACCGGAAGGAGTCAGTGGCCCATCAGGACTGGGTCAGCCTACGCTGGTTTGTCACCATCCAGCCAGCAGCACCAGAACAGTATGAGCTGCGTTTCAAACTGCTGGAGCCGCGGACACAACAGGAGTGTACACAGTGCGGCATAGTCCCCGTGGCTGCCTGTACCTTTGATGTTCACAACCTGTTGCCCAACCGTACCTACAAGTTCACTATCAAGAGAGCAGAAAGCTACACCCTGGTGTATGAGCCCTGGCGGGACAGCCTCACCCTGCAGACCACACCAGGACCCCCTGAAGGGCCTGCCCCCAGTCGGCTGGACAAGTCCAGCCTGCCCCTGACCACACCTTCTGAGAGATGATTTTCTAATATTTATCCACTAATAAAGAGGAGTATACACACACCAGATTAAAGACACAACCCTGCTTAGGCCTTAAGGTAACAACAACCATATAGTGTTTTCCTGATGGCCCAGCATCCCACAAGCCCCAGAACCCCTATGCCTTCTGTTTTTTCCAGAAGAGCTCCAGGTTGGACATTTCAGGACCACAGTCCCCTGGAGCAGGAAGTGCTGGCCCCTGGTACTTGGCTGCCACCTCTAATAATGAGAGCTGTTCCAAGGGAACTCAGCTCCCTCAGCCTCAGAACCTCACAAGGCCCTTGCCCCCCCACAGCCAGAACCAGTGTCCTTTACCTGCCTCCTCACTTGAGATTCCTGAGGAAGGTGATACTTTGGTCCTGTCTGGACACCACTGAAGGCAGTCATAGCCTTGGTGTTAGCATCCCAGATGGCTTGGAGCAAGGATGCCCAGGACCAAATGATGTCTTATTTTTAAAATAAAGGTCTTACATTCTCTCCAAGTAAGCTGAAGTTCATGGGCACCCCAAGTGTGTGAGGATCCCAGAAAGGAAGCCTGGCTGGGAATTTCTCTAAGACATTCAGTGGTGCCTAGCTTCTAAAGTGTGACAATCCCTGCAGCACTTACTCTCCTTTCTAGTTAGTAGTTGATACTCAGCCCACATAGGTGAACATTCCTCACTGCTGTCCAGGGCACCTTGACATTAAGGTCTTCTACCCAGGTTAACACACGTGCACATGCACATGTGTGCACGTATGAGTGCATGTACACAAGCATGCGTGCACACGCACAAATAATCACAAGGTAGATGCAGGCTTGGTCACCTCTGGGTCCAGAATGGTAGCACCTGTCCCTTGGGCAAAGCAGCAGAGTTGATAAAAGGAACAAAGCTGACACAGCACACTGAGCCCAGCTTCCTCCCCACCACACACACCATGGGTGATGGTTCTGTTTTTTTTTTTTTTTTTTTTTTTTTTTTTCAGTTTTTCGAGACAGGGTTTCTCCGTAGCTTTGGAGCCTGTCCTGGAA